GACTGTTTGTGACCCCATGGACTAAGCATGCCAGGCTTCCCGGTCCTTCACCAATTCCTGGAGTCTGCTCAGACTCACGTCCACTGAGTTGGTGACTCCATCCAACCATCTTGTCCTCTATCGCCCCTTCTCCTCCTGCCCTCAATCTTTCTCAGCATCAGGTTCTTTTCCAGTGAGTTGGCTCTTCACATCAGGTGGCCAAAGGATTGGAGCTTCAGCTTCAGCATCAGTCCTTCCAGTGAATACTCAGGGTTGATTTCCTTTAGGATTGACTGGTTTGGTCTCCCTGCTGTCCAGGGGACTCAAGAGCCTTCTCCAGCATCTCGGTTCAAACATATCAGTTCTTTGGCCCTCAGCCTTTTTTATGGTCCAACCCTCACATCCATACATGACTACTGGAAAAACCATAGCCTTGACGATACAGACCTTTGTTGGCAAAGTGATGTCTCTGCCCTCCCCACCCAAATTCTTATTTTCGTGGCTGCATCAGGTTTTAGTTACAGCACGTAGAATCTTCACTGTGACATGTGGAACCTAGTTCCCTGACCAGGGATCAAACCTGGGCCTCCTGCAGGGGGAGTGCAGAGTCTTAGCCACTGGACCACGAGGGAAGTCCTTCTATCTTCTCCTTATTCTCCATATCCTGCCCTTTTACAGTGTGCGTTTGCTGTGGATCTATTTTCACCTGTGATGCTATACATTTGGTGGGCTCTGTCATGTTTTCCATTCCTGGCAAACTTTTTGGATGATGTCACTGGTGATTTTTTCCACTTTTGATGTCTCTGGTCTGTCTCTGGAACTCTTCTTAGTCACGTATCGGGCTTCCTGAATTGATCTAATTTTCTTGTCTACATTTTTTTTTTCTTTTTGTCTTCTGTTTTGTTTTTTTTTTTTTTTTTGTCTTCCAACCCTTCTGTTGCCATTTGGATTTCGATCATCAGGTTTTTTATTTCCAAGGACTTTTTTTCTGGTTCTTTGAGCATTCCTTTTCAAAGGGCAAATTTAAGCTTGTTTCCTGGCTCGTGTACTTTCTACTAGCTCTCTGAGGATAGTTTATATACATAAGGTGTTTTTTTATTCTTTTCTAGAACTGCTTTCTTTTGTTCTTATTCTTTCCTCCAAGTTGTGTGCTCATGCACGCTCAGTTGCTTCAGTCATGTCTGACTCTTTGCACCCCTACGGGATATAGCTTGCCAGCTTGTTCATCCATAGGGATTCTCCAGGCAAGAATACTGGAATGGGTTGCCATTGCCTCCTCCAGGTGATCTTCTTGACCCAGGGATCAAACCCGCGCCTCTTATGACTCCTGCATTGGCAGATGGGTTCTTTACCACTGAGCCACCTGGGAAGCCCTCCTCCCAGTTATTTCCAGCTTCTTTGATGGTTAACATTCAAGAGGAGAGGGCTATAGGGCTGACAGGAAGCTCCTCACCATGGGAGTGGCTTCACTCAGGTGATTATGGGGGGACTGGACACTGTTGGGGAGTCCTCCAACATCAGCAGCACCTGTAGGGCTTTTTTCACTCACATGCATGTTCTGTGTATGACTTCCATTTTAATCACCAGTGTTCGCCCTCACCCCTGCCCTCCACTGCACCCATATCCCTGGGACTAAACCTTTCGGGGCAGCAAGCATTTAAAAAAAATGCATTTTATGTTTGTGTCTCCATTGTTGCTGTTCTTCAGTTGCTCAGTCATGTCTTTTTGCCACCCCATGGACTGCAGCACGCCAGGCCTCCCTGTCCCTCATCATCTCCTGGAGTTTGCCCAAGTTCATGTGCATTGCATTGGTAATGCCATCCAGCCATCTCATCCTCTGACACCCTCTTCTCCTTCTGCCCTTGATCTTTCCCAGCATCAGGGACATTTTTGCTGCCCTGAAAATAGGTTCATCAGTACCCTCTTTCTAGATTCCATATATATGTGTTAAAATACGATATTTGTTTTTCTCTTTCTACTTACTTCACTCTGTATAATAGGGAGGTTCAAGAGGGAGGGGACATATGTACATCTATGGCTAATTCATGTTGATGTGTGGCAGAAATGAAATCAATATTGTAAAGCAATTATCCTTTAATTAAACATAAATAAAAGTTTTTTAAAAGCCGTGATGCAACTAAACCTGGTGCACCACCACTATTGAACCTGTGCTCCAGGGTCCATGAGCCACAACTACTGAAGCCAGTGTGCCCTAGAGCGCGTGCTCCGAAACAAGAGAAGTCACTGCAACGAGAAGCACGCGTAAAGCAACAGAAGCCCAATGTATTCATTACTGAGTCTTCCCCACTGCCCTGCAAGGTTGGTGCTATGAGTTTTAATCCAGTTTCATAAGAGGTTCTGGGAAGTGAAGTGAGCTCCTGACACTCTATGGCTAATATGGTAAAGGGCCATGGACTCACCCTTTCTGAGTGAAGCAACTCTGGCTCCACTTTGGGTTCTCCCAAGGAAGGCGATGTTTGCTGATTGTTGTTATTCGGTTACTAAGTTGTGTCCGACTCTCTGTGACCCCATGGACTGCAGCATGCCAGGCTTCCCTGTCCTTCACTGTCTCCTGTAGTTTGCTCAAACTCATGTCTGTTGAGTCGATTTGCTGAGTGAACATTGAGCCAACCTCAGCATTCTCAGTCGGACACAGAGAGGTCCTACTAGCAATGGCCCATGGCGCATAATAAGGTGTTCGATCAACATGTTTTGCATGAATGAGATGACGATAGAACAACAGCTGAATATCCAAGACATGGCAGAGGGAGACCTAACTGTTAAACGGACGTGCAGGAAAGTATCTTGGAAAATCAGAGGGCATGGTCCTGACTTGGGGACCGGAGTGGGTCTCTTTAGTTTAAAGTGAGGGTGGGGTGGGGTGGGGAACTCACACAGCTCTGATGGAATGTGGTCTTGCACATGGAAGTTTCAAATGCGTTAAAATGCTCATTCCTTTAAACATTCAGGAAGGTGTTTGCCGAGGTGTAATTTGTAATCTGCAAACAGTCTAAACATCCAACAGCAAGAGAACAATTAAGCAAATTAGGGTATGTTCATGCAGTGGAATGCTGCTGCTGCTACTGCTGCTAAGTCACTTCAGTCGTGTCCAACTCTGTGTGACCCCATAGACGGCAGCCCACCAGGCTCCCCCGTCCCTGGGATTCTCCAGGCAAGAATATTGGAGTGGGTTGCCATTTCTTTCTCCCATGCATGAAAGTGAAAAATGAAAGTGAAGTCTCTCAGCCTGGAAAATCCCATGGATGGAGGAGCCTGGTAGGCTGCAGTCCATGGGGTCGCTAAGAGTCCCACATGACTAAGTGGAATGCTACACAGCTATTAAAAACTACATCTCTTCAAAGGAGAAACATTGTATGACATCCCTTGTATGTGGAATCTAAAAAGAAATTATACAAATGAACTTACAAAACAGAAAGAGACTCACAGACTTAGAGAAGGAATTTATGGTTGTCGGGAGGAAGGGATAGTTAGGGAGTTTGGTATGGACATGTACACACTGCTATATCTAAAACAGATAATCAACAAGGACCTGCTGCATAGCACATGGAACTCTGCTCAATGTTACATGGCAGCCTGGATGGGAGGGGGGTTGTGGGGGAGAATGGATACATGTACATGTATGGCTGAGTCCCTTTGCTCTCCACCTGAAACTATCACAACATTGTTAATTGACTCTACCCAAGTACATAGTAAGCTAAAGAGAAGAAACAGACCAAAAAACTACATCTCTTCATAGTAGCCACAAAGTGGAAGTGACCCAAATGTCCATCAACTGGTGAATGGATCAAATGTGGTCCATCCACACACATGTAGTCAAAGCTATGGTTTTTTCCTGTAGTCATTTTTGGATGTGAGAGTTGGACCATATTTTAGCATCTTGATAATAATGAAAAAGATTTGTCTCCAAAGGTCTCCAGAGGAATTAAATTAGAAAAACTATATCTAAGCACCTTGAAAACACAGCTGAGAAATCAAAGTTGTTATGTCAAATGAAGAAAAGGAGGAATGAAAGTGTATAAACAGCACACCTGTAACCAAGAGTGTGGAAAATGAGAAAATTGGAAGGAAACAGTATTAACAGTTGTTAACTTTACTTCCCTTCTTCCATTTTTTCTGAGATTTCCAAGATTTTTGTAATTGGAAAAACCCAGTGCATGAAAAGAAAATTTTATTGTGTTAAAATAAACATGATACCATAGACAAATAAAATAGACAAAATACCACTGTAACCATTTTTAGATGCACAGCTCAGTGGCATTAAGTGTATTCATATGGTTGCACAATCATCCCCATCATACGATGCAGTCATTCATGTGATTCCCTACCATCATCTCCAGAACTTTCTCATCTTCCCAAATTGAAACTCTGCCCCCAGAGTTGCAGTGACTTCCCCATCCCCTCCCCCTCCCCCAGCCCCTGACCCCTACCATCTACTTCCTGTCTCTACAGATTTGACTCCTCTAGGACCTCCTGTGAGTGAAATAAGACAGTGTGTGTCCTTCTGTGTCTGGGTTATTTCACTGAGCATCATGTCCCCAAGGTTCATCCATGTTGTAGCAGGTGTCAGAACCTCCTTCCTTTTTAAGGCTGAGTAATATTCCACCATGTGAGTGATTGTACTTGTTTATTCATCATCTGTAATGGACACTTGGCTTTTGGCTTTTTCTCACCATTTGGCTGCTGTGAAGCCTGCTGCTGTGAAAATGGGTGTTCCATGAACAGCAAATATCTGTTTTCTAGTATCTTTATTTTTCAGAACTTGGGCAGGTATACCCAGGGTGATACTCCCCATGCCCAGCTGCCTACTCTGGGCTGGCTTCTCCATGAGTCCTCTGGCCTGTTCACTCTGAAGAGCCTTGATTCGCTTACCTGAAACATCTCCTCAGCCCTGGGAGCCGAACTAACAGGTGACCAGGGAGAGGATGGAGCCAACGTCTCTCCAAACGAGTTCGGATCGGCCGAGCCCAGAGATGCTTCCTGTGCCACGGAGCGTGACTTACCTGGACCGGGGCTGCAGTGCGCTTTCGTGGTTTTCACTCGGTGTCATTGGCGACCTTAGCAGGTGCGGTCGCAGGCAAGTCTGCCCTCTCATATTTGTCTCTCCTGGACTGCCTGCCGGGTCTGGCTCTGGTCCTGCCCACACCACCCGCGTCATCCCTCCCACATGCAACACCATCTCCTAGCAACCGGGCTGGCCTCCAGCATCCCACAGCCTGAGGTCCCACTGTCCCTGGCTGCTTCTCTCCCCTCTGTCCCCCCACAGCGCTCTCAGTTCTCAAGTGCCTGGTCCTGAGTCTCCCTGCCAGCCGCCTGCCTGCTCCGGGGTCCTCTACCCTGTGGGAAGAGGGCTGGGAAGCAAAGCTGAGAAGCCACTGCTCTTCAGGCCTGCAGCAGGCACCACCGCCTGGGCGTTCTGTCCATCTGGACTGAGTACATCGTTCACCAGCTGTCTGAGTCTGTGGCTGTGTTGCCTAAACTCAGTGTCTCGCAGTTGCTAGGGGGGCAGATTTAACTCTCTGTCAGCTGGGCTGGTTTTCAACCACCTGATGGAGAAGGTCACGCCTGTCTTCCCCAGGAGGCAGGGATGGGACGGTGAGCCATGGCTTGTGAGATTCTGGGAGCTGCCGTGGCCAGGATGAGAGCGAGGCCCATGGTAGTGGGATGGGGTTGCAGCCGTGACTGTCCACTACCCCCACCAAAAATGCCAACCCATTGTCCCTTCCCTCCATCCTCTCATTGCCTTAGTCAAAGGCCCTCACCCTGACTGGTACGGTAATCTCCTGGGATGAGATCAGAACAGGTGGTGTCATTTCACCTGCTGGGAAAGGAATTCCTCCAATACAGAGACCCACCTGAGGGCAGGGGCATGGCTTCGAGTATTAACTTGCTACACTTGGTGTCTTCTAGACCTGGGGTAGCATGGTGATCAAGACTGATGCACAGTTTCTGTCCGCAGACAATTCATAGTGGCGGCGAGCAGGGGGGAGGCAGATAACAAACTATTTTAATCAGTTCTGTGTGGGTCTGAAGGAGATAGACAGAGTTATGTGACAGGCCAAAGGGGTCAAGGGTTTCCCTGGTGGCTCAGATGGCATAGAATCTGCCTGCAATGCAGGAGACATGGGTTTGATCCCTGGTTTGGGAAGATTCCCTGGAGAAGGGAATGGCAACCCACTCCAGTATTCCTGCCTGGAGAATTCCACGGACAGAGCCTGGTGGGATACAGTCATGGGTCGCAAAGAGGCAGATGTGACTGAGTGACTAGCACTTTCACTGAGGGGGTCCAGGAGGCCTCTCTGAGACCTAGAGGAGAAGAGCAGTGGCTGTACATACAGGTCGGGGAAGGGCTTACCAGGCAGTGGGAATAGCATGTGCAAAGGCCCCGGGGCGGTGGGACATGGGCTGGTTTACTGAGGACCAGCAGAGACTAGTCAGTCTGGAGTGGAGACACTGAGGTGGAGGGTGGCCCCTGGGGTTCCTCTGGGGGCATTGTCAGGATCAGGGGTTTTATCTTGGGTGCAGTCCTGAGTTTTACCCAGAGCCCCAGCTGCTGGAGGACTAAAGCTCTGAGTGGAGCAGCAGGCAGGGGACCAACAGGACTTCTTATTGGCTTGGCCCAGAGGAACCCAGGAGGTCCCCCCAGTAGTGGTGGCAGTGGTAGCCTGGACAGCTGGGTGAACAGCAGGGCTGTGGATGGAGATGCAGAGGGGGAGGGCTATGTGGGCAAGGCTGTCCTGCGTGAGTGGACAGTGTCCTCTGCGCCGGATCTGTGACCATGGCTAAGACCTGCTGAGGGGCTGCTCTGTCTCCTGGCATTATTGGGATGCCACTCCCCCAGGAAGGGCCTGGAAGTGGAGGAGACAGCCTACCCTCCTGGGGAGGTCGAGTGGTCAGGCACCAGCTGGCCACTTCCTGTTCCTGGTAGATATCGCTCCAGCTAGAACCAGACTCAGCTCTGTTTGCACTGGAGGGCTGATGTTCCCTTGGCCCAGCTCTGAGCAGGAGGTACTGGCCGTCTCCCTGCCCAGGTCTGTGCCCACGGGCATGTGCCACTCCCACCAGGGGCCACGCAACCCTGTCCGCCTCGTACCCCTCTGGCCTCCCAACCACTGCTTGGGGATGCCCCCGTGGACTTGAAGCTGTCAGGGGCTCAGCTGTGACGGGTCTCCTTATCTGGAACCCCTCCTGCTGCCCCCTGAGGTTTGCAATGAGGACTTGGGGAAACAGCGGGGGAGCTCTTGGTAGGGGGCCTGTAGGCAGAGAGCCACCCCTCCCAACTCAGCTTGGTTGCCCCCTCTTGCAGGAAGCCTTCTGGGTCCCACCTCCCGCTGACAGCCTGCTGATAAGAGTATCTCCTGGATCAGGGCAGGCTGGCTTCCTGGAGTGGCTCTGGATGTGTGTGAGATGAGTGCTGTGTTGGATCCCTGGTGTTGGGGTGGGGGTCTGTAGAGCCTGGCTTCTCTGTGGCCCCGGGGACCTCGGTGAGGAGAGGGCCTGAGAAGACGCCCACACCTGGACCTCCTCCCCATCCACACTCCCAGCCTCAGGGCCTTGGGGAGATGTACTGGCTGTTCATCCTGCCTGGAGCCCAGCAGGGTCACTGCGCCCCAAGGAAGGACTGTGTGGGCCTCACCAAGACACAAGCATACCTCGTTTATTCCCCACCCTCCAAGCTTCCAGGTGGTTCCACGAAGACACTAGATGTGAAGCTGCACACAGGCTGTCCCTCAAACACAGAGGTGAACTGGAAACAGTCAAGTGACCAGGAGAGACGGTGTCTGCCCAAAGATGGACATGGCCCCTTCAGCACCACTGGGCAGCCAGGCGAGAGGAGGAGAAGTAGCAAAGAGGGAAGTTTGGACAGATGGGGGTGGGGACTGGGTGGGGCTGCTTCCACGCCCACCTGCCTCGGTGGTGGTGGGGGGGCCCACCTGATCCCATGCCCCACCCCGGGCAGAGCCCCCAGACCCTGCCTCTGAGGGCCAGGCCCCGGACCCACGTTGGCTGCACCTATGCGAGGAGGACGGGAGAAAGATGGAGGCAAACCAGCCCCGAATGAGGCGCACAGAGGGGCTCCCCACAGTGCAGAAGGATCGCAGTGGCACAGCATGCAGACGGGGGGGGTGTGGGGTGGGGGGGGAGGGCACTGATGTTCCCAGGGTCAGGGGCCCGCCCAGCCTGCACCCTCCCCACCCAGGGGCTCTGTGGCCCCTTCCATGGCAGGCAGGGGCGAGCCCAGCTCAGACCCTGCAAACCTCTGGCCGAGCCTCCAGGCTGGGGAGCTGTCACAGGCAGTGTGTTTGGAACCAGCTGGACTTGGGGACGGGGGACCCCAGCCTGGGCACACTCCCAGGCTTGGCCAACACCCTCTCCCAATCTGCTTCCAGGGCAGGCTTCCTGATGTGGGGCCCTCGGTGGGCTTGCCCATGTTATGTCAAATCCACGTGCGCTGGGCACATCCACACAAGTCATTAAAAACCCACACCCTTCGCAGGCCACAGGGTGACTTTAAAGCTAGCAAGAAATGCCAGGGTTAACTGTTGTGCTGCCCCTTCTCGCCCCGGGGTGAAGGCAGGCCTTGGGTGCTGCTCCAACCCCCACAGCTCAAATTGCCAAATGAAGAGAGTTCACTAATGATTTAAGCACAGGTGTGTTTAAAGAAATCTACAGAAAGTTACTGCAAAGGGAAACGTGGACTGTCGGTGTCAGGGGTGAAGCGGCCGCTCAGCGGCAGCGTGTCAGGTCCCGTTGGGGAGGCGAGGCCGCTTCCTCTGGTCACCGCCTCCCTTGGCCTCTGGCTCGCCTGCCTCCCGTGGCCTCTTCCGGAAGCGTGCCCCCAGTCTGATTCTGGGAGGCGGCAGCGGGTCGATGCCCAGGATCTTGTGGATCTGCCGGAACGCCAACATGCGCAGGGCGTGCTGGGGGCAGACCAGCTGTCAGGACCTGCCTGCCCACGCCCACTAGCCCGCCTCACACAGCCTGTGCAGACTCAGGCATCCTCGCACCATCCCAGCAATGGCCAAGCTCGGAGCACCTCTGGGCGGGAGGAACTGTGCTGGGAGCTGTTCACACCCGCTGGTGCCGAGGACACTGCCGGGAGGCCCGGGAACCTCAGCTCTTCTTGCTAGGGGGACCCTGGATCCTGCTTCTCCCAGTTGGGCTCAGATTAACAGCAATTTGACTCTTTCCACTTAAGATCCTTCATGATGTCATGCCCAGTGTCAAGTCTGCTGAAGAGACTTGCTCATTAATAGAAATTTGCAAATGAAAGGGAAGCCAGAGATGGGGCAGTGGGGGTGGGGGTGGGCAATGCTTTGGTTCTTGAAGCTGTTGAGGTGTGCAGGAGGCCTGGCTAGGTGTGTGCAGAACTGGGGCAATGGGGTACCCCCAGGACGATGAAGCTCCAAGTCTGCACCTCATCATGGCCTCAGTTCTGGGCTGGGCTGGCCCTGTCCCTGGAAGCAGTCCTGTCACCCACAGGCCACCTGATTCTGCAGGGAAGAGGATGGGAAGCGGGCCCAGACCGTTTCCTGGGATGCAGCAGAGATGTGCCCAGGGGCTAGGAGCCGGGCTGCCTGCAGCCGGCTCACGTGGGCCCAAGTTGGGCTGGCCTCCTACCTGGGCACTGGCTGTGATGTCTTCTCGTTCCTGGAGGGTCATGGAGCCGAGGGCATCCATCTGGTCTCTCTCACAGGGATCCTGGAGCCCGGGCCCATCTGGACGAGAGGGGGTTGGTGGGAGCGGCAGAGAAGCAGATGCACCCTTGTGAAGGCTGCCACCAAGGCTCTGTGATGTTGGAAGTCTGCGCCTGGACCCCACGGGCCCATGGACCACAACTGGGCCTCTCCCCGCCAGTCCCCCTCTGGCCCCACATGCCTTCAGCAGAGCTCCTCGCGGCCTCTGTGTGTGTGTTTGTGCACGTGTGCACACACGTGGGTGAGCGTGCAGTTACATAAAGGGCTCACACCACAAGCCCCATGTATCACACTCTTCTTCCATGAAACATGCTATCATCCAAGTCACCAAAACAACTGGAAAACACTGTCTGCATCTAACATGTCACGTGGGCTGCCCCCCTGGTCTCTTCCTCCCGCTACCACTCAGGACGCCAAGAACATCTCTGCCCGGCTCACCATGGACCTCCTGTCGTTTCCTTCGGAAGCATCCCCCGGGCTACCCCTGGTTCCCCAGGAAGGATGGATGTGGCATCAGAGGATCAGGTGGAACCCCCCTCCAGCCTGCACCTGCCTCTCCTTCCACCCATCCACGCGGCCTCACGGCTCCCTTGGGTGAGTGACACGCATTTGCGTGTCTGTGTCCATTGTCCTGCCTAGGTTGGATGGGGTGCTCGAGTGTTCTGTAGAGGCTCCTCTGTCCACCTGCCCCACTCCCCCATGGCCCCTGGTGTTTGCCAAGTGCTCCAGGGTCTGAGCTGCTGGCCAGTGGGGACTGACCTGTGAGGAGCGTCCCCGAGGCCACGCACTCCAGGACTCGGCGCACAGCATCCCCGGGGCTCAGGGGCCCCTTGGTGCTGCTCAGGGCCTTCTCCACCAGCAGCTCCATGGCCTGGGCCGGGCGGGGACAGAAAAGGAGACCCAGGCCTTTGATGGGACAGCGGTTGTGTGGGCAGGCAGGTCTCCAGGGGACATGGGACCACAGGCTCCCACCCAGTGCCCCCTCATGCCCACCCAGGGGGTCACCAGACCTTACTGCCCTGGTGTGGCCATGGGCGGGTTTCGTCACCCTCCCTTTTCAGGTTCCTCATTAGCAAAATCCCATCAAAGGTAATGTGGCAAACTAGTGTCACGTGGGTTCAGAGAGACTCCTGAGGGTCACAGGATCCTGGGGCCTAGTTCAGGCTTGTTTCTTCCTCCAGGAGCCACCTGCCTGGAGGGCTCAGGGACAGGGTTGGGGGTGTGAGCTGTCGTGGGGGTGTGTCTACACTTAAAGGGAAACGGGCTCCGGGAAATGCGTGACCCCCTACCCCCCGCAAATGTCTGAGTGAACCTCTCTGGTCACTCAGCATGGGGCAGCTGCCGTGCCACCCACCCGGGGTGAAGCTGAAAGTGGACGTCTCCACAGACCACAGGCAGGAAGCTGAGGTCTGGGGGGCGCCAGACCCCCTGGTTTTGGAGATGGCCCCCGTGAGTAAGGCCAAGGGCAGCCTGGGTTGGGGTGTGGGGAATGTCCAGGAGCCTGCCTGTGGGCATGGGAGCTGATGGACTGGCTACAGATGGCTGCAGAGAAGAGGTACGCGTCTCTCCAAGTTCAGGGCCAGATTCCCAGGGAAAAGGTCAAAGGTGAAAGCCTTAGAAACCTACAGGTTGTCTCGGTCACTGGGGAGGTCAGTGGGCGTGTGACAGGAGAGGACACTCAGAGATGAGACCCTGAAAGTCGAGGCAGGGATACCCAGTGGGCAGCACTGGAGGTCGCACGAGGCAACTTTGGGGGTTTGAGGTTCCCAGGGTCCCTTGCATCCTCTCTCCTCTCCTCTCCCCCTAGAAGGGCTCCAGGGCTAGCTGAAGGGACGCGTCAGGGCCACAGGGTTCTCTCCTTCAGAGGAGGCGGGTCTTCCCCAGGCCTAGAGGTCAAAGTGGAGCCAGGACAGGCACCGGCTTCTTGCCCTCACCGGGGCCTCTGCACCAATGCCTGCAGGTCTAGGCAAACACCCCAGCTTTTGTTGGAGTGCCCTTGTATTTACATGCTTCCTGGTTCTGCCTGAAAGGTTGTGGGTTTAAGATAATACAGTCAAATGAGGCCGTGTCCTGTGGCAAGCCTCCCCCTGGGACTCAGACTGACACCAGCCTATTCTCAGAAAGCTGGACACTGGACAAGGATACGAGGCTTGGCCTAACAAGGCTGTGGCCTGGCAGGGTTTGGGAGCTTCCTAAAGCAAGGCTGGCCCCCTGGCGCTGTCTTACCCAGTCCGGCAGGGCCCCCCAGGTGGGCACGCGCTGGCAGAGGTCCCGGAAGACCCTGATGACGATCACACAGGGCTGCAGGCCGCTGGCTCTCGCCTTTGGGGGAAGAAGCATATGGGAAGCCACAGGAAGCTCTGAGCACATGGCTGGGGTGGGACGGGGAGCTATAGTCGGGGCCAAGAGAGCGAGACTGAGTCAGGGCAGTGAGCCTGGCTGGTGGTCCCCTGCTGGCAGTGGAGGCATCGAGGGACTCCAGTGTGATCAGCCCAGCCTCCTGGGCTGTGGGAGGCAACCGGAAGCAGACTCCACTCCCAAATGGCCCAGTCTATGCCCTAGTGCCAACCAACGGGACCAGAGCGGTGGTCACCCCTTTCAAGCTCCCAACCCAATCGGCCAAGAAGTGACCTCCATCATGATGGGGAGCGCGGGGCAAGGACACATAGCCACCCCACCCATGTCTGCCCCTGGCCTCTCCTGGGAGCCTGCCCGCTGCTAACCTGGAACCATTTGGCGTGGCGGAGAGCAGCCAGTGCCTGGAGGCACTTCTCTGGGTTCAGGACATCTCCTGGGTCCGGCGGAGGCACCTCGGTTCCTTCTAGAAGAGAAGGGCAGGTAGGCCGGCCGCCCCTGCCCCTGCTCCCACCTCCTGGACCCTCAGGTCCCTGGGCCTCACTGCGTTCTTCCGTTCATCAGGAAGACATGCAGCTCGGCTCGCTGGCCCTGCCTCCAGACACTGACACTGGGACACAGAGCTCCCCTCTTGAAATCCCACCCCTCCCCGAGACTCTGTGGTCCCTTTCCCCCAAGAGCTCCACGTTCAGGTGGAAAACTAAGAATGAAGCTGGATTTCCAGAAACTTCCATGTGCGTGTGTGATTAGGGTCAGGTTTGAGCATATGCCATCACGGATGACCAGGGCCCCATGTCGGTGGAAATGTCCGTTTTTTTCTTCCTTCTGCTTGCTTTAGGAAGATTCTTCTCCCCTCATCCGGTGAGACCCTGGTGTTCAGGGCGCAGGAGGGAGCACCGCTCTTCCCCCGGCCCCCCAGGCCTGGGTCAGTTTCTGGGGGCTGAGAACCAGCACAGAAACAGCTGAACGCAGCCCCCTCCCACCCAGCAGCAGCGGCAGGGTATGGACCCCAATGAGGAGCAGCCCTGGGGGTCCAGGGTGCCTGCAGAGGGGCTTCCTGCTCTCTGGCCCCCTCTAGCCCACCCCCTCCCCAACATTCCCAGTCCCCGCTTGTTGGCAGGGGAGCAAGCTGGAGCAGGCCTGAAGCTGGGGTCGAAGGGCGGGCATCACTGTTTCTTCTGACTGCATCTACTTTCAGATGACACGTGACACTCCCCTTATGACAATTGATAATGGCTTTCCACTCACAGTTCAAAGGCTCTCTTCTTTAAAAATGGAAGAGCCAAAAAGGAATTGAATCAGAGAAAGCAGCAGTGGTTCGTGGCCCTCAGTCAAGGCAAGGATCAGGAAGAGAGTCTGAGAAAGGCTGGAGTTTGGGAAAGTGTCCCAGGGGTTGTCCCAGGGGTTCCCCACTCCTGGGCATGAGACTCGGGGTGCTCTCCGGCCTGGCCCACACCCTCTGTGTTGGCTGCCCTCTGGCCTCCGCCTGTACTCCTCCCACTTACTCAAGCAGCAGTGTCCATGTGTCTCAGGTCCCCAGGGCCCCTGCTTGGCTGGGGGACCCGGCACAGTGGGTCTCCTTGGGGTGGGGAGCAGGTGCCTGCGTAGCCTGAAGGCTCAGGGGGAAGGGCCCTGAGCACGCCTGCCACAGCCAGGTTCTGAGCCACTTGACACTTGTCCCAGCTCTCTTCCTGCCTTCTTCCGCTACCCGGAGGCCTGGCCCTTATCTGACTAGGGCATCCAGGCTTGACGGAAGCACAGGAAGGTGGTGGTGGCACCCCTCCCCCTAAACCAGAGCAGAAGTGGGTGCTGCCCTAGGCTGCCAGCTATGTGGGAAGAGGGGGCTGAACAGAAGGGCCCGGCCGCACCTCGGTCTGCAGAGGGGTCCTCCCGCATCAGGGGCGAGGTGATGGACACAGCGACCTGTATCCGGGGCTCCTCGCAGGAGGAGATGACGATGCTGGCGTCCGGGTCAGAAGACACCTCGTACTTGTCGTCTGTGACCACCTGCAAGGTGCACATACAACATGAGGCTTCAGGACTCCACCTGAGAGGTGGGACACAGCTGGGTGCCCAGCCCCACGCCTTCTGGAACTTCCTAGGGACCAAGACACAGCCTTACCCTCCAGAACTGCATATGTAGAAATACCAAGATCCCTTCATATGTAAAAAACACCTGGAGCTCAGTAACAACCAGTTCAGCAACCCAACAACAAAACTGGCAGGTGATAGCTTGCAGAGAGAGAAACCAAAGTGACCCTTTTCACACAATGACAAAAACAAGAGGAAAGGAAGAATCACATTAAAAGCAGAATGACATGTCGTGGCCACCCGTAAGAAGGACAAAACTTGAGGAGCCTGAGGAGCCGCTGGGCTGGTATGCCTGGTCACTTCAGTCACGTCCGACTCTGTGCGACCCCGTGGGCTGTAGCCCGCCAGGCTCCACTGTCCGTGGGATTCTCCAGGCAAGAATACTGGAGTGGGTTGCCATATCCTTCTCCAGGGGATCTTCTGGACCCAGGGATCTCGAACCTGAGTCTCCTGCATCGCAGGCAGATTCTTTACCATCTCGGCCAGCAGGGAAGCCCCCGGCTGGCAGATCCGTGCATCTCTAAACTGCTGGTAGAGGCTGACCTAGCGACACTCACCAGGAGCATCCAGGTTTGTGCCTTGGACCCAGAGACTCTCCCCAGGAAGTGCTCCCACGAGTGTGGAGCAGTGTGTGTACAAGGTTATCACTCTCTGCAGCTTTGCTGGTGACCCAGAGCACTGGACACAACCTAAATGTCCAACTACATGGGAGGACCCAGCCAGCAATGGACATGTGGCAACAGGACGCCCTCCGGCCACAAGGAAGAGTGAGGCTCCCTACACATGAGTGTGGAATGTGGCCTGACAGATCCACAATTATCAAGTGAAAACCACATAGTCCTTCAGCTGGCCTACCAGGCCACCCTTGGGAGGACGAGGGCAGACGATAGTCTCTCGGAATGCAGGACAAGGGGTGCCTCCAGGCAAGGTCTGAGGCCCCTTGGCTCCAGTCCTCACCCCACACCTGCTACGGGGCCCAGAGTTCAGTCTCGCCCCAGCACAGGCATCCTTACGGCCCCGCCAGCCCCGGCTCCATCACCCGGGACTACCCAGGGGGTCAGTCCTCTGCAAGCAGAGACTCCAGGCGAGCCCCGCCCTCTCAGCAGGTCCCCTCCTCTCCAGTCCTTGGTCCAGCCAGTCTCGCACAGGGGGACCTTAGGGAGGAGGGACTCTCCTCATGGCCATTAGAACTCCGACTGCTGCCCCTGGGAGACGGCACAACGAAGGTGGGTTTGGTGCAGTGACCCTGTGCCTGGAAACACTTTACTGTGTCCCTCATGTTGCTCTGGAGTTCCCAAGTCACTCGGCCAGGTGACGGCTAAGAGGGTCTGTCTACATCTCTGGGGGCCAGGCACCACCAGCTCTCCCATGGCCTCTGCTATCTTCCCTCCAGCCTCGTCCATCTTCATGGCTGGGTTGCCAGATTCTGGAGGACAGGGCCAGCATCTGAGCCATCTTTGCACCCCTTGCAGTATTTAGCAAAAAACTGCTATGTCGTGGGGTGTTCAGGAAAAATGAGTGATTAAAGTGGTGAAGTTGGAATATGTCACTCCCCTGCTTAAAGCCCTCCAGTCGCCCCATTTCCCTGAGGAGGCAGTCATACCTCCCCACATGGCCTTCCCAGGTGGCACTAGAGGTAAAGAATCTGCCTGCTAGTGCAGGAGACATAAGAGACACGGATTTGATCCCTGGGTCAGGAAGATCTCCTGGAGGAGGGCATGGCAACACGCTCCAGTATTCTTGCTTGGAGAATCCCATGGACAGAGGAGCCTGGTGGGCTATATAGTCAATAGGGTTGCACAGAGTCAGAGACAACTAAAGTAACTTAGCACTCATATGGCCTTCAAGCCTGGCTTGATCTAGGCCCTCGTCCACTCAGGCTCACCTCTCCGTGGGCCTCCTGCCTCTTGGCCTCTGCAGGTTCACGTTCCTCTATGGGGAACTCTGCCTGCCCCCATCTGTCAAGGCTTCTCCTCATCTCTCACCTCACCTACTCCATCTTCTGTTGAGTCCTGTCTGCAGGACATGGTCCTGTCTGCAGTGGACCCCACGATCCCTGGGTGCTCCCCACCTGGCACCAGGCTTGAATTGCTCTACAGAAGATACATCAGAAGTCAGCCTTCTCTGTGTTTGTTTATTGTGTCTGCCTACCAGACTGGGAGCCCTGGAGAAGGACCTAGGAGGGATGAAGCTGAGTCCCCTCGGGAAGGGTGGCAGACAGGAAGGAGAAAGCACCCTGGGAAGTGATCATTTTAACTGAAGACGATCAATTAACATCATGATGTGATCTCCCTCTTCCAGTTACTATCTCGGGTGAGAAAAGCTCTATGACAACAACGGGAACTGTGCTAAAAGAGAAAGTCTGGCCAACCCTGCAGTCCTGTGCCTCCCAGTGCTTTCCCTGCAGATCGTCCTCAAGCCAGCTGGATGGGCTCTGTGTGGGTGTGACAGAAGTGACCGTCCTCATGAGCCAGATGTTAGACTGTTTCAAGTCCTACTGTGAACCCCCCGACAAGGGAACCCTCAAGTTCCACCAGTGGATCCCTGCTCCTGTTTTTAAAAGCAGACTGGACCGTGTCTCACCCAGGCAGACCCCGCACAGCGCGGCCGGGCACCTCACCGGGAGCTGGAGGGGCAGCTGCTCGGCGACTCTGCGCTGCAGGGCGCGGGTGGGCTTCTGGGAGCAGAGTAGGATCAGCTGTACCGACCGATCTCCCCGCAGGAGTAGCCCCTTCGCCAGGAGGCCGACCCTCATCACGCCTTTCAGGATCCGGGCCGAGGAGCTGGGGCGGCTGCTGAGACAAACCCATGGACCAGTGAGCAGGGGGCGGAGAAGAAGGACCCCCAACTCCTGACGCAGGGGCATGGGTTTCCTTGCCAGGCGCCCTGCGCCTCCATGTCCTCATCTGTAAAGTGGGAGCATGGCCCTTCCCAGAGAGCGCCTGATCCGAGAGACACCGGGAGAACTGGGAGAACAGGGAGAGTTCTCGGACCTGAGGATGGGAACCTATGCTGCTCAGCGGGGCTGGCAGCTGCCACCCTCTGCCGATAAACCGCATGCTGGGCAAAAGATTGCCTGACCCCAGCCACCCTCATCAGCCCCTGGCTTCTGAGCTGTCTCTGCGGCCACGTCACCCCCACCTGGACTTCTCTGGGGAGACCTGGCTGGCTGCTCCCTGCCCTACCCTCCCCTCCAGCCTGCTCATCTAGTCCCACCTCCCCTGCCCCCAAGTCTGCTCTCACCCGCCCACCACTGTCCTGGTCACTTTCTGCAGGTGACCCCCATGGCTGCATTGGCCCAGCAGTCACCCTCCTATTGCTGCCCCACTACAGGCTGGGGACACCCCAGCTTCTTCCTGGGGCCCCCACCCTCACCCCTGGCAGCTATACCACCCCCCTCTCCTTCCACTCCCTCCCCACGAGGCTCGCCCACCCAGACCGTTGCCTGGGCACCTCTCCACGCTGTCTGTCTCTCTCACACACACGGTCACCTCCTCAGAAGCTGCCACCCACTCCCACCACTCCCTGACCACCACTTTGCTTCATGTCATGCCTCAGGACATGAGATTACTTTGTTCTGCGATGCACATGGGTGTCTTTGTGGTCTGTCTCCAGACCACCAGTGCTGGAGCCTGGGAAGGTCTGGAGGGACCCAGCCACGCTTGGAATGTTTACAGGACAAGGAGCAGACACTTTGGGGAAAGTCAGAACAGAAAGGTGGGAACCTGCGTATCAAGAGACTTACAGGTTGTCAATTAATTGGGACCCTGATTCAATACAAACTGCAAAACAAAAAACCTCCTAAACAAAAGACTGAATTATTATTATCTACGGGACAATTGGACGCTGCAGCACTGACTGGATATTTGATGTTGCTAAAGAATTATTGTTCATTTTTCTTTGAGGATGATCATGGCATTCTGGTTTTGTTAAATGAAAAAGAGTCTTGTTTAGAGATGTGCACTGATGCACTGACATACTCTAGCTGTGGGTTGGCACCCGATAGGGTGTCGGACAGGGTTTCCTTTAACCACTGTGGGCAAGGTGGGGGATGGGGAGAGAGCAAGTGAGTCACTCTCTGTTTAGCTATGGTCGTCTCTTGTGTGTGTTAGAGAATTTCCATAATAAAAGTAAAAAAAAAAACAAACCAACACTAATGCGCTCTTTGTGACAGTTAAGTAAATAATGCAACAGTTTATCATGTTCCTATTAAAAACACACACACACACACATTTCCACAGAGAAAAAGGCCACAAACAAAGAGTGAGAAAGGGAATTCCTTGGCAGTCCAGTGGTTAGGACTCCATGTTCTAAGGGCTCTGGGTTCGATCCCTGGTCGGGGAACTAACATTCCACAAAGCTCAGTGCGACGAAGGGGAAAAAAGCTGAGAGGAAAAAAAGCCACCAACACTTCTATGTTTTTGAAAAATAATGTAAAAAAAAAATGAAAAAGACAAAAAATAAAAAGAAACAAACAACAACAACAAAAGAAAAATAATGTGAGGACAGAACGTGTAATGTGACATCAGTGTTATGTGAAGGCTTTAAAAAAGTGCAATCGGTTTTGCTTTAAAGCTGGGTTTGGGCGGGTTGTGGCAGTGTGGCGGCAGTAGGGGTCCTGTGCTGGCGGAGGCGCCGTGTCCTCACTGCAGTGGGGCATCTGCTCAGGGGGAGAGTTGTCCAGCGCCGGGGAGGCCTGAGCAGGGCCTGGGCCTCGCTGAGGTGCCTATGTGGACGCCTGGCCTTGACACCTGTGGGTCCACGCTGTGGAAGCTGGGGGAGGGAGAGGGTCCTCTACTTACTCTGTGTTGAGTCCATAATCGCTTCAAAGTGAAAAGTTAAAACTAACAGAAACAGAGCACGAGAATGGGGAGGAAACAGCGAGGGAAACCAGGAAGCACTAAGTGAGGGGCCTTCTCCTTCAGGAGACACGGGGGCGGAGGTTAAGGGAGGGCTGCGCTGTCTGGGGCCATGCCTGCTTCCACTTCCAGGCAGTGAGCTTCCTCACCGGAGTTGGGGGGGCGCCCACGTTCACACTGAGGGACGGGTGCGTTCGGTTATGACACCTGGTGACCCACGCATGGCTCTCATGTTCTTCTCAGAGAGCAAACACTCCGGCACAAAGAAGCTACTGACTGGAATCAGACTGACACAAATGCTGCACGATTCCATTGACAGGAAACATCCGGAACAGGCCACGCCATGGAGACGGTGGGTGCTGGGGACTGGGGAATTTTACGGGATAGATTTCTGTTTCAGATGATTAAAAAGTTCTGGAAACAGACAGCGGTGATGCCTGTACAACCTTGTGAATGTGCCCACAATGGCCAATTTCCTGTTATGAGTATTTTACCACCAAAAAAAAAAAAAAAACACCTTAAAATAGTAAACGAGGGACTTCCCTGGCGGTCCAGTGGTTAGGACTGTATGTGCTCACTGGTGAAGGTCCAGGTTCAATCCCTGGTCGGGGAACTAAGATTTTGCAAGCCATGTGGCACAGCCAGAAAAAAGAAAAAAAAGTAAATGAAAAGGAAGCCACCCAGAGATGAGGGACCTGGAAAAGCTAAGTCCTTTGGGATTCTCTAAACCGTGCAGTGATTCACTACGAGGTGCCGGGACTTTCCGTCTTCTGACAGTCGGGCAGCTGGAAAGATGATTCACACACACGCTCAGCGCTTGGCGGCCCCCCTGCTCCTCGAGCCTCGCACTGGTCTCTGTGTCACAGGTGAGGACACAGAGGCGGCTAATCCTCTGCAAACCACGGCTCTAGACGTGCCTTCTACAGGAGAGTGACTTCCGGTGTGAGAACAATCGCTCTCCTTGGCTGGGGCTACTATAACCCTCTTTGACCTCCCAGCCTCCTGGCTAGCTCCTAGCTCCTAGCCTCCTGGGGAGATATCTGAAGGGGGCTGGAAAGCACAGGCCCCGAAGACTCCAAGCCTCCTGGCACTGGAGCTGCCATTTCCTGTCTGGACCCTGACCCCTGCCCACCCAGCTGGGGGTCAGCAGCCTCCGGGCCCCTGGACAGAAGGGCGCCATCCATCACCTGTGGTCCCCGCCCTCGGGCTCCGGGCTGGCAGAGTCCTCCTCAGCCAGCGTGTCAGACACCAGCTTGAGGGCACGCTCCGCATGGGAGACGGCCTTCTGAACGGCCAGGAGCTCCTCCTCCGTTGGGTAGATGGCTGCGTGCTTACACATGACATGCCGGTCGTCGCTGGACTCTGGCCGCCTGGTGGGCTGCGGGGAGAGGTGCGTGTGTCTTGTCACATGGAGGCTGAGGTGTCCCAGTCACTCGGGAGCCATGGGGGCCCTTGGAGCCTGGCTGGTGTGACTGGCGAGCGGAGGCTGGAGAGCCGGGCAGAGGAGTGACAGGGCCCAGGGGGAAATGGGACAGGGAGGACCTCAGCCCCAACAGCCGTGGGGAGCTTGGGCCGAGTGAGGGGGGTGGGGGGGGCAGTGGGCTCCCTAGGGAACGCTCTCGAGTTTCAGAGTCAGAGGCTCCGAGGCAGCTGGGGCCCCTCCCTCAGCAGGGCGCCCTCCACGGTTCCCCCCCAGCCTGCCCGGTCCCCACGGATGGACAGTCAGACACCTCAGTGCTTCTGAGGGGTGTGACCACTGGGGCCTCAGGAAGCTCTTAGGGACCCCTGTGGCTGGCAGTGAGGCCCTCAGGCCCCTTCAGCGTCCCCCACTCCGAGGCATTCGACCACCACCCACCAGAGGCTTGGCTGCAGGCGCCCCTGGCCGACTCCTGAGGGCAGGCAGGTGCTGGTCAGGCAGAGGGCGTCCTGAGTGTGAGTCCGGGACAGGCGGCCCCTCTTCCAGCCGCCTCCTGCACAAGTCGTAGCGCCTGCAGGACGAGAGGGACTCGGGGCCCTGAGCGGCGGCAGGACTGTGAGGTGGTCCCACTGGAGCCCTGGGGAGCCCGGGGGGAGCCCTCCCACCGTGCAGGGCTGCAAGGCTGCACCTCGTCTCGTTGTGCCAGCGCCGCAGCTCCCCCAGCCGCCTCTTGGTCAGCTGCCGTTGCCTCCGCAGTGTCTCCTCCACGAGCTTGCGCACCCGTGTGCTGGGCTTGTCTGCGATCGGGAGGTCAGGGTTCACTTTCTTCTGCAAAGTTCAGGGACCGTCATTCAGATGAGAATGCTGGGAGGGGGGAAACTCGGGGCCCGGGGGGACACCCGTCTGACAACACCCTTCCACTGGATTTAGACAATAGTGAGTTTTAGTCCCGAAGTCTCAACACTCCTTATTCCCCAGAGGCCATAGCAGAAAACCATGAGGACAAAACCATGGCTGACTCAAAGAGCTGCAGACGTGACACTGAGCAAACCATTCGGATGTCTAACAGAGGAGCCAGAGGAAGAAGGTGCTGAGACACCTTGAAGCAGCTGCCACCAGTGGTCATGCTGTTCTCAGAGGACTGACCAGAGATGCTCGTCCCGAACAGAATAATTCAGAAAATACCGTTTATGTGAGATCCAGTGTGTACTGTAAATAGAATTGTTAACTCACTCGCTGGGCTTCACTTTTAGCACGTAATTTCCTCACTCAGAGAGCGTGGTGTTGTCTAAGGATTAGTCACCAGTGGAAACAACACAAGTGTGCTTCAGTGGGTGAAACACACACAATGTCGTCCCCTCCACACACGGAGCATCCCTCAGCCACAAAAAGGAGAGAATCCCTGGCATTTGCTACCACATGGATGGACCCTGAGAACACGACATTCAGTGAGAGAAGCAGACACAGCAGGACACACAGGCTGTGATTCCACTGATGGGAAACGTCCAGAACAGGCAGATCCACAGACACAGAGAGTGGGTTCCTGGTTGTCAGGGGCTGGGGAAGGGGTGGGGGTATGACTGACAATAGGGTCCCGGGCTCCTGATGGACTGTTCTGGAATCAGATGGAGCTGCTGGCTCAATGTACACATTTGTGAATGCAGTTAAAGCCGCTTCACATGCGCCAGTTGCTTGGTGTGTGAGTGATATCTCAACAGGCTGCTTAAAAGAGAAAAATGCCCAGAAGCCACTGTCTCTCATGAGGGTCATAGCCTGTGCAGTGCACACGTGTACTCAGGATCCAGCAGTCACATGTGTCTAAACACACTTGTGTGCACGTGTGCCCCGGCAAACCTGGGGCAGGGAAGCCTCGTGATGGCAACTGAGGGCCTCTCTGGCTGAGCCCCTAGTGCTGAAGGGCCCGGGGACTCAGACTCACAGAGGCACAGGGTGCGTTCTGAGATGTGGGCCAGGATGTCCAGAGCACAGATGCCCCCCTGCCCCCCTGTCGGGGCGCACCTTGTACTGCAGCCGGTGCCGCCGTCCCCGCACGTGCATGTCCCTGGCGTTGAGGTCGTTGAAGCTGCACTCACACAGCTTGCAGTGGAAGCGGATCACCCGGCCCTCCTCGTTGCACACCTGAGACACAAGGCTCGGCTGGGCACCACCTGCAACCCCCACGCCCCCCATGCTGCGGGTCTGGGCTCTAAGAGGAGCCTCCTCCCCTAGGGCCTTCCAGGCCAGGCACTGGCTTCCTGTCTGCCCTGTGGTTAATGCTTTCAGAGGAGTGACCTTCACCAGCACACCCTCCCAGCCTGGCCCTTCTTGCCACCACCTCTGCCACCATCGTTCCATCCTCCCTCCCTGCCCCCACTACCCCCGCTTCCTGCGGCTGCCACCAGGAAGCCTGCCTGGCGTGGCTGTTTTTCAGGGCACAAAACTGAAGGTGCTGAGTGGATTGAACAAAAGCCTGAACTCCAGCACAAAAAAAGTGCCAACATGCACGTGCCTGGAGGCAGGGACTGTTCGCGTCGGGGCAGAGGGCTCAGAACCTGAGCTCCATAAGGAACTGGGTATCCAGGCAGGTGCCCGGTGGGCACGTGGACTCCAGTACCCAAGGGTCACATGCCTGTGGGTTTCCAGGGCACAGACCCCTCCTGTCACCTTCCTTCCTGCAGGAACTGGGGCTACCCAGGAGCAGGAGATGCCTCTGCCTGTCTCAGACCTCCTTCCAGGACCTGGAGCCCGGCACCCAGGGCTCCCAGTGAGGTCCCAGTACGCTGGCTCAGGGGGGTATCTGCCCAGGCAGGTGAGCGAGTCTCAAGGCATGGCCCCACCAGGCCTAGCTAGGCGTGCAATGGTCATTCAGCTCTTACCTCCTCCACGTAGCCTGGGCCCACCGGCTGCCCCTCACAGCTGCTTCCAGAAGCTTCCGCGGAGCCTCCTCGGGTGGACGGCTCCCCAGGCCGCTCCGATCTGGGGGGTGCGGGTTTCCCATGGAGGGGTCTGCAGTCAGTTGCTGGCAGTGCAGGAGGCCCTGGAGGGAAGAACTTCATGACTTGTAGCCTGCTCCAGCCAGAAACCATGGCCAGCTCGTGGCCCACCAGCTGCAAGGGTACAACACAAGGCCACCGGGTCCCCCACCGTCCCTCTCATCCCCTCGTGACATCAGCCTGTGGGGTTCGTGGTCCTGTGAGGACCTCACCCACCAGCTCGGGTCACAACTGGAGAGCAGGGCCCTCATGGTGTTTCATGCCCAGGCGGACAGGTCCACAGGGAGGCCCAGGTTGTAGGCCTCTCACTGAGGACACCCCCCCTCAACTGCACAGTCTGCAGCCCTTAGTTAACAGTGGACACCAGGTGGACCGGGGTCACGTTCACTGACCTTGGTTCACTGAGCCCCAGAAGAGAGGCTTTTTTTTTTTTAATAATGTGTTTTTAAAAATAATTAATTTATTTATGGCTGCACTGGGTCTTTGTTGCTGCCAGGGCTTTTCTTTAGTTGCGGAGAGTGGAGGCTACTCTCTGCTGTGGTGCATGGGTTTCTCCTTGGGGTATCCTCTCTTGTTGCAGAGCACAGGCTCTGGAGCGCTGGCTCAGTAGTAGTGGCTCACAGGCTTAGTTGTCCCATGGAATGTGGGATCTTCCTGGACCAGGGATTGAACCCATGTCTCCAGCATTGTAAAGTGGCAGGTTATTTACCACTGAACTACTAGGGAAGTCCAGGGAGACGTTTCTTTGTCACCAAAACTGCTTTATATCCTCATTATCACATGACTGTTCAAACCTCAGACCTGCTGAGGCTCAAAATAAAATAGCCCCCCTTCCCTCAAATGTGGTGGTGGACAGCGGAGACTGTCCCACACTGGGGTAGAACCCCCCCCTCCCCTGCTCACCAGGTGGCCCAGGGCCAAGTGCTTTGCCACACCTCAGTTTTTCCATCTGTAAAGTGGGACTGATGACAAATCTAAAGCATCGTGGAGGGAGAGTCAGGCTCTGCATGTGACGTGGTCAGTGGAGCTCCTGACACGGAAGCCTATGTACCCATGCCACACAGGGCCCTCGGTCACAGTGACAGATGTGGGGGATGCACACCTGAGGGGAGGCAGGGTTGCGAGGAGCCCCCCTGAACCTCCCAGTGCCCACCTAAGTGATCAGAGCACCTGAGGGGAAGGGGGCTGCATCCAGCACGTGGACCGCGGCCATCCAGGGGCTGCTCCAGGCCCAGGGTGGGGCTCGGGAGTGTGACCAGCACCCTCTGGGTCCCAAGCTCCAGGAGAGGAAATGAAGCTGCCATCTCACTGCCCACACTTCCCCAGGTGGACCAAAGGTGCCAGGAGGCACTGCCCGGCCGGAATCCGGCAGAGAACCATCAGAGGTCCTGCCTCGCCAGAAGCTACGGCTCACAGTGAACCAGATGGCCAGTCTCTGAAGCTCAGGCTCGCCCGGGGTGGCTGTGAGGCGCAGAGCCGTACCCACACGCGAGGCCTTCGAGGTGGCCGGTCTCCTGGGCGGTGGTGGCCTGCTCGGGGCACACACGCTGGGGCTGGCGGGGGCCACGGGCTTGGCTGAGGCTGCGGGGGTGCTCTCTGCGGTGACGGTGACGGGGGTGGAGGCCGGCTGGCTGGTGCTGGGGGCCTGGGCCAAGCCGGGGTTGGCCGGTGCGGGGTCTATGGTGGGGATGGGCTTCCCCAGTTTGGTGTGCAGCTTGAAGACCTGGAACAGACCAGCCCCATCAGGGCCCCTCCCGCCTGACCAACCTTCTCAAGGGTGGGCAGAGCAGCTCGCTGGGGTGGGGAGCTGGCAGCCTGTGCAGTGAGGGGTTCTATCCGGGTCTCCCTGGGTCACTGCCCTCACCCCAGCAGCCCTTAAGTGCCCCAGGGAGGGCCTCCCGCTAGGAGTCATACACAGGTGGGACCTCAACATCACCTCAAACTCCACACGCCACCACCTGTGCTGGCTTCTGCACACCCAGCACCAGCCCCACAGCACGTGGGGGTGAAGAACGCGCTGAGGGGGCCAGCTGCTCCGAGGTACGCGTGTGCACGCCCACACACAGGTCCACGCTCTGCTGGAACTCATATACACATCCAGAGATACAGATCACCGAGGACACGGTCAGAGCCCCTCCTTGGCCTGACCCCCTCCAAGGCATTTAAGTGCTGAAGCTCCACTGGGCAAGGATGACCTGCACTGATGACCCTCTCAGACACATTCTCGGGCTCCAAGTCTCTGACGCTCACAGCTCAAACCTGCCCCCCACCCCCCCACCCCGGGGCTTCCTGCAGGGCTTCCTGTCCCCAGAAGCAAGTCCCAGCCTGCAAACCGAGCCGTGACACCCGCAGTCCACCCTACCTGGGCCCCAGCTCTCCCCTTGCACCCCGTGACCATCAGGCCAGGGCCCCTTCTCCACACTCCCCTGCTCCTTCCTCTGTGGGGTCACAGAGGGTTTTCGGGTTCACTCAGGCATTCGAGAGCCTGTCCAAGCTGGGCTGGGGGATGAGGCCCATGGTGAGCTGGGGCAAAGGACAGGATGGGCGCTCAGGGTGACCCGGCCTGCAGAGGGGGCTGGGGAAGGGCTGGCAAGGCTGTGGTGTGGGGGGCTGGGGGGTGGTTCGAGCAAAGGCTCTGAGGCAGGGGGGAGCACGGTAGGTGGGCTGGGGCAGCTGGAGGGGATTCTGTGGACAGGGCAGGGGCTTTCCCAACCCTCTCACTCCAAACCACACAGGGCAGCACCAAGCAGGCCTCCCACCAGGAATTCCCCCCTCCTGCCCTCAGCGCACACCCGGAAGGCGAGCGTTGTCTACCAGGTTCATGACACCATCTGGGGGAGATTTGCTGATTTCCAAAAACCACCTCTGGGCCAAAAAAAGAGGGCCCAGGGAGGGGGACCCTACCTCCTCTCAGGTGGGGGACCCTGTTCACTTCCCCATAAAATGACATACTACAAGCATTTCTAAGGCCATAAGAAAATGCTGATACTAAAATAGTAATAAATATGACAAATGCTGATACTAAATAGCATCAATTAAATCTCAGATGTTCAAATACGAAAACTTACTACTTTAATTTGATTTTTTAACAAATAAGGACCCCCAAATGGACCATATCATTGGATCTCATCAACATACAGACTCTGGTCCGCATAAATACACAAGACACCCTGAGGGCCCAGAGCAGTCTCCTCTTGGGCCGGGCGTGGGGTCCGGCTCAATGCCTCTGTCTAGGGGCAGGTGTGACTCTTGTAACTGGGAGCAGGGGCTGGTTCCTGAGGAAGGAGGACACGTGGGCCTGAGGGGAGAGCTGCCTTTTGTGGACGGCTGTCCCCCTGTCCCTGTGTCAGTGGACGCCCCTCTGGGTCCCGAGTGGGCCTGGCTCCACGCAGGGTCCTACCTTCTGGTGCTTGGCCCCCCGGATGTGGGCGGCGTAGGCCTCTGCCCCAGTGCAGGACACGGCACAGAGGTCGCAGTGCAGCTGCGCCTGCACCCCCCGCGGGCTGCCGTTGGGCTGGACGCCCATCTTCTGAGCTGCCTCTTTCTTCTTGTGCTTCTGTCCTTCCAGGTGCTCACGGTACGTCTGCTGGCAGAGAGTGAGGACAGCCTCATAGGGATGTGCCCACCCAGCATCATGTCCCCACAGTGCCCAGGACTCTGATGTCCCCACCCCTGGTGTTCACGGGCCTCCGAGAGGTTTGTGTACCACCTTTTAAAGCCCAGTCAGGACTTCCCTGGTGGTCCAGTGGTTAAGAATGCACCTGCCAATGTAGGGGTCGCAGGTTCAATCGCTGGTCTGGGAAGATCCCACATGTGGCAGAGCAACTAAGCTCATGCGTCACAACTACTGAAGTCCATGTGTCCTAGAGCCTGCGGTCTGCAACAAAGAAGCCACTGCAGTGAGTAGCCCTCACACCGCAACTAGAGGGTAGCCCTGCTTGCCACAACTAGAGAAAAGCCTGCGTAGCAATGAAGACCCAGCACAGACAAAATAAATAAGATCTTAAAAAAAATAATAAAGTCCAGGCAACAGACCTAGAAGCTCAGACTGAAAAACATAAGGTTTCCTTCCTCTTCTAAAAATCAGTTTCTGAAGCAAGCATCCTCAAAGGGCAACATTTAGTTTCAGAGGCTGCTTGAAAAAATATTCCAGCTTTTCAGAATCTGACCTCAGAAGCCAAGTAAGGACACGTGTTACTGGATAGACATGGGACACACTTCTTTTTAGGGCACTGCTTCCAAACCGTGAGTCCACGTGGGAGGGGACTTCATGAGTCACAGACCCACGGCTCCTGCCCCAAGGCACCTGAGATACCGGACACATGACCGAATGTTCACGGGGCAGCCCTGACTTGTCTCTTGGAAGGGGGCCTACTAACCCGATGTCCTCTACCCACACCAAGAGTCAATAACCCTCAGAGCAGAAAGGCCTCTGGGAAATACCAAAGGCACTAGTGATCTTGGCTGGTTCTGGGGGCAGGTAAGGAGGCAGGGACAGGAGTGGGGGCGGTGCTCTTGAAACATAGGTATCTGTCTTTACCTAAGCCACAGGACACACATACACACATGCACGTGTGCATGCACGCGCACATACGCGCATGTGCGTGCACATGCACACACACATGCACACATACACACGTGCACACACTCACACATACAAACACATACATGACGTAACTGCCTATGGACAGAGATCAGCCTAGAAAGAGATAAACAAGGTGCAAACGGTAAACTACTTCAGAACACACTTCGTAGAAAAAGCATGTGTTCACAGCTTATGCCATCCCGATGCCCGACTTGGTGGTGGTGGTGGTGGTGACAGCGACAGATGGGCGAGCCTGCCCAAGTGATGAGCTTGCACAGAGCAAACCATGAGCACGCACACACTCGCGTGCAAAGGCACACACGGTGCACTGAGCAGACAGGATCAAGGCCAACAAACGTCAGCACTGGAGGCTCTGGAGCAGGGCCGGTGGGCCTCCCTGCAGCTTTTCTTACAACCACATGTGAACCCACTGCTATCTCAATAAAAATGCCAACGAAAAAACGCTGCTAACCTTAGCAAAAAGCTGGGAATAACAGGAGCTGACATTTCTATGGGCCAGATGCTATGCCGAGTGGTGATGCGCTTGGGCAAACCCAGTCCCATGGGAGACAAGGCTCAAAGAGACCTTGACACCGCTCGGGTAATGCTCGGGTAATGCTCACATGCCCACGTCTGTGGGGAGCGTCCCACGCTTGCTCAGTGTGATGCCATGAAGGGTCTAGAATCACAGAGCAGACCTTATGTTTGACTGGTGACAATAACAAAGAATCCTCATGATGTAAAATTAAAGTCGTGCAAAAAAATAAAGAAGGAACAGGGAAGGCTGATGTCTCACTAAGGGAGAGTGTCGTGCAGTGGAAAGAAGCACAAGGAGCTTGGGTGCCTTGCACTCTGAGAAGGGAAGCACGACGAACAGCTGGGGGTCTTGGCACCAAGGCCCTGCATGTGGGGGACCTGGCCCTTGACCCTCAGCCAGGAAGTTGGGCTGGAGGAGACAGGCGTGGATGCCTCCCAAGTCTCTGCAGTCCATGATGGGGAGTCTCTACGGGCCTCCAAGGCAGCTTGACAAGCCCTAGTGTCTGACAACCTCTGCAGGGAGCAAGCTGGGTTACCTGCGATAGTGGCTGGGGAGGGCCTTTGCTTACAGAGCAGTACAGGCCCACTCACATGCACACACATGTGCTGCTCCTACCTGGCTGCAGGCCTGTCTACATGGCCCTTTCTACACAACCCTGCCTGTACGGCCCTGCAGCAAAGTTCCATGTGACCAACCACATCCACTGACCCTCATGTCCAGGAGGGGGCACGAGCGCCTCACCGCTACAGACAGCCTCAGAGTGCAAGACTACGCTGCTGCTGCCCACACCCAGAGCTGCGCTGGCTCTCACGTCTTCCACAAGAACATCAGGCAGTTTTAAGGCCATGCTGATGCCCACTTGATGATGCAAATTATTAACAAGCCTCTTCTGGGCAAGTTACAACCCTGCCCTCTGGCCAGCTGCAAGGACGAGGAAGGGCTCCCCCACTATGGGGGCAGGGGGCTCCCCTGGGCTTCCCTGCAGGGGCCAGAGTGGGGGCCTGACCTGGGGGCCAGCACAGCTGATCTTGCAGATGTCACAGTAGTGAAGCGGGAGCGGCTGGGGTCCGATCCGGGGTCTTGGCAGCTTGCTGGGAACTGGAAGCTTCTTGGCGATGCTATTGGCACAGCTGGCACTGGGACTGCCTCCTGGGCCACCCCACTGGGATGACTCCACAGGCTTTGGGGGTGCGGGGGGCTGCTGGGGTGGGGGTGGCGGCGGCGGCAGCTGCATCTGTGGAGTGAGTAGCGGTGGGTAGTAAGGACGGGCCACGGAGTAGGAGGACGCGTCATAGCTCGGGTAGCTTGGCCCTAAGAAGGAAGAGAAGAGCGAGAGGGTGAGATGGTTGGTTTTGAGAGAAGGACCACAAGTATTTCAGCAGCAAGCAGTGGAGGGGCCTGTGCCCATGTGCTGGCTCACCCGTGTACGGGGCGGAGGCTGCGCTGAAGGATGACGAGGCCGGCAGGGTGGGGACGGAGGAGGCCATGGGCTGGGCGCCGCTCGCTGGGGCATAGGTGTAGCTGGAGCAGGCGACGCTGGCTGGCGGCCCTGCCTCGGCGGTGGGCATCTGTGGCAGGGGCTGTGCCTGGCCGTACCCACCGCCCCCGTAGGCTCCTTGGGTCCCTGGAGAGCAAGCATAACCTCTGCAGAGTCAGCCCTGTGGCCCTGGGTCCCGGGAGTGGACAGCAAGAGCCACATGGGCGATGGTGTTGCTATCTGGCCGTGAAGCCCAGGTGTCTGAGAGGTACTGGAGGCCGAAGCCCCCGATTCTTCCATCTCTATGTCCTCCATGAAACCCACCTCCTTCCATCCTGGGAAAGCCTCCTGGGAAACCACTCCCAGCTCTACTTCAGTCTCTCCCCGTCTCTCTGCCTCACCTTCCCATCCTCCCTTCACACCCTCTGGCCCACTGACCTGTGCAGACCTCGGGGCGTATCAAGACAACCCACCCTACTCCTGCACTATGAATCTGGAGTTTCCCAGGGTCCCTCCTGTATAAGCAAGGACACTGGCTCCCACACTGACCCACCTGGCGGGCAGAGCGTGGCCGCGGCTGGGAGCTGAGGCTGGCCGGCCATAGATGGTGGGTACTGTTTGTTCTCGTAGCCACTGGTGGCTGTTGACAGTCCATAGCTGTAACTGTCCTGAGAGAGGGTTTCCACAGGGAACACAAGGCAGGGAAAATGGTGCTCAAGGTGGGGTGAGGCACCCTCCCTCAGCCCCCGCCCCAGGCCCGCATCCATAGGATTCCTGAACTCTGGCCCTGTACCAAAGCTCTATTTTGGGACCTGGGGATGAGGGACCAGGAAGAGGGCCGTGGCCTGCTCCCTCAGAACCTCACATCTGACAGCAAAAGTCCCACAGGACATGGGCTGCTGGGGACGGCTCTTCAGAGAGGCAGTGACAAAGAGGCTGGTATGCAGACTCCAGGACAGAGCTCCTGGTCAGGTCAGTAAAGTCCAGAGGCCTTGGTGGGGGTCAGTGTGTAGGCTTGCAGGAGACCCAAGGTGGTCAGAGCAGAGACCCAAGAGGGCCAGGAGAGCGGCTGGGTGGGCAAGTGGGCAGGGGCTGTGGGCAAGGGCTGTGGGAAGGATCTGGGGCGGCAGGGAGCAGGGCTGGATTTTGGTTCACAAGGGGATTCCAGCTGCGGGGTGGACCAGGGATGATGTGGAGGCAAGGATGGAAGCACAGAGGCCGGAGGAAGCCCCAGGAACAGGGCAGGAGCTCGGGATGGTGGGTTTGGAGAAGTCCCAGGGCTCTGGGGGAAGCAAAGGGGAGATAAGGAGGAAGGAGATGGAGCCAGATGGGTACGAGCTTGGCTGAGCGAGTCAGGAACCAGCTGTGGGTGACAGAGGCTGGGGGGTGGGGGGTGGGCCACATGGAGCATGGGAACACAACTGCCCAATCTGCAGGCCTGGGACTCAGGGTCAGCACCGGGAGGGCCCAGCCAGGAGGAGACCATTCTCCATGTCCTCCATGGGCAGGGACGGGAGCATTAGGAGTGGGGACCTGTCCCCGACTGTGTTCTCAAGGAAGGGCCGTGCTGGGCAGAGACAAGTGGCTGATACCTGGTAGGAGGGTGCCGTGGTGGCAGCTGGCATAGGCTCCTGGGGTTGGGTGCTATAACCGAGGTCCTGACCGGAGTGGGGCTGGTACCCACTGTATCCTGGCCCAGGGGGCTGGGCGGCCTCGGGAAATGGGATCAGGGCCGGGCCCAGTCCAGGAGCAGGCTGTGTGGACAAGCTGGCTCCAGCAGCGGGGAGGGGAAAAGTTGACGGAGGCGGGATGCTGGAACCACAGATGAACACAGCGTTAGATCCTGGCCCAGTCCGTAAGGACCTGCGCTGAGCAAAAAAATGCCGTTGATACTAGGCACCAGCTCTCTGCGTGCTCCCAGTCCAAGACCTTCCTGGGAGCGCTGGCACCATTGGAAGTGCTCTTCATGAGTTAACACAATCTCACAGCAAGCTTGCAAAGTTGGAGCCAGCCTGGTGCCCGTTTCCAGGAAAATCATGGAAGGTCAATAAATACTAAACTAAGAATTCTTTACCTACAAGAACCAGCTCTTGTTCACGGTTTGCTCTACAAGAAGCTGTGTGTGTGTATGTGTGTGTGTGTCTGTTTAGTTGTGTCTGATTCTTTGTGACCCCATGGACTGTAACCTACCAGGCTCCTCTGTCCATGGGATTTCCCAGGCAAGAATACTGGAGTGGATAGCCATTCCCTTCTCCAGGGGAATCTTCCCAACCCAGGGATCGAACCCACGTCTCCTGCATTGCAAGCAGATTCTTTACCATCTGAGCCACCAGGGAAGCCCTTAGTGGGCGCAGAGCCTAGGCCTCTTATCTACCTCACCTCATCCCACCTTTTGGCCCTTAGAGAAGGCACTGGCTGGCTGGCTGTCAGTCCACCTGCTGGTCTGTCCCCACTGACTAGATGAGGAACTCTGAGGACAGGTGATAAGTGAGGTACTCTATTCGAACCCAGATCGGTCTGATCCCCGCACCCCTTACTCTGATAAATATCAGCCAACCCATAGAGAGTGTTTGAATTTAAAAGCCCACATATTGGGGAACGGTATCAGCAAAGATTTTAGCCCAATTCCAATAAGAATCATATAAGAAAGTTCCCACGAACCTCCTACATGGTTGGTGGGAATGTACACTGGTGCAGTCACTATGGAAAACAGCGTGGACATTCCCTAAAAAATAAAAACAGAAGCAATCTCCTGGCGGCTCAGTGGCTAGAACTCCACACTCTCACTGCCAAGGGCCTGGGTTCAATCCCTGTGTGTGGGTGTGTGTGTTAAGTCACTCAGTCGTGTCCAACTCTTTGCAACACATTGGACTATAGCCCAGCAGGCTCCTCTGTCCATGGAATTCTCCAGGTAAGAATACCAGAGTGGGTTGCCATTCCCTTCTCCAGGGGATCTTCTTGACCCAGGGATTGAACCCAGGTCTCCCACATTGCAGGCAGATTCTTCACCATCTCAGCCACCAGGGAAGCCCTGGGTCCAATCCTTGGTTGGGAACTAAAATCCCACAATCTGTGCAATGCAGCCCCAAAATACAAACATAAAAACAAATAACTTTTTAAAAATAGAGCTACCATATGATCCAGCAATCCCACTCCTGGATTTATATCCAGAAAAGACAAAACACTCTAATTCAAAAAGATACATGCACCTCAGTGTTCTCAGCAGCACTGTTACAGTTGCCAAGACATGGAAGCAACCTAAGTGTCCATTCACAGATTAATACATAAAGAAGATGTGGTATGTGTATATATGCATATATACACACACAATGGAATATTACTCAGTCATAAAAAAGAAAGAAATATTGCCATTTGCAACAACATGGATGTACCTAGAGATTATCATACTAAGTGAAGTAAGTCAGACAGAGAAAAACAAGCATCATATGATATCATTTATGTGTGGAATCTAAAAATAATAAATGAATTTATTCACAAAACAGAACAAGACACAGAGACACAGAAAACTTTACGTTTACCAAAGGGGAGGGGAGTAAGGGATAAACTGGGAGTATAGGATTAACAGATATATACTATTATGTTTTAAAATAGAGAGCATGGGGGACTATGTTCAACATCTTATTATATCATAATCTATAATGATAGAGAACCTGAAAATACTGAATCGCTTTGCTGTACATCTGAAACTAACACAATATTGTAGATCAACTGTGCTTCAATTTTTGAAAGAAGAATGTTCCCGCAAACCCCGTAGGGGATGAGGCGAGGTGCATGCCCAGCCAGGGGCCAGGCACGGCCCTAGAGCATGGGGGGATGAGGGCCGGCAGCACTGGTCCACTAGTGTCTTCACACACATTCTGGGCCAACACTAGACTCACATATGGCGCCCACAGTGCCATTCCTGCCCCTCAAGCGGCTCACTGTCCAGTGGGAGACTCATGGAGAAGTGGGGACCACACTGGGGTTGTGTTATCCAGGCCATGCTGGGGGCGCTGAGGGTCAAGCAGAGCCACTGCATTGCCCTGCCAGGATCCTGCCCAGCTCCTGGCCAGCAGCTCCTCATTCCTCCAGGCAGCCAAAGGGGTCCTCTCCAAGCAAAGACCTGACCAGGTCACCCTCCTGCTCAGACCTTCCCAAGGCCCTCGGCCCCATCCCCGCCCACACCCACTCACTCCCCTCCTCGCCCCTCCTCCGCCCTCCCTGAGCCCTTGGAGGAGAGCAGCGGTATCCTGGAACTCATCACCCTGCCCCCCTGTGACCTGCTTCATTCTTCCTCCCAGCATTGCCTGATGCAATCCTTCCACCACCACTTCTACCACTGTGAAGCCCCAGGAACTGCAGTGGGTCTCAGGACATTTCCCAGCACCACAGTGGCACCTGGCACATGGCAGGCACTCAGGAAGTATTAGCATGGGGAATGGTGGACGGAAGCAGCCCAACAGGTAGTGTCCTGGCCCTCGGGGCTGGGGTCCTTCTCCCCATGTCCTGATATGGTCTCCCTTTATGTGTGTGTGTCTGTGTGCTAATCTCTCTCTCTTTTGACTTATCTATTCGGCTGTGCTAGGTCTTAGTTGCAGCACATGGGATCTTCAACCTTCACTGTGGCATGCAGGTTATCTTTTAGTCGCAGCATGTGGGATCTAGTTCCCTGACCAGGGATCAAACCCGGGCCCCCTGCATTGGGAGCATGGAGTCTTAGCCACTGGACCAGCAGGGAGGTCCTCTAATCTCCTCCTCTTATAAGGACACCAGGCATATTGGATCAGGGCCATCCTAATAGCTCATTTATAGCTTCCCTGGTGGTTCAGTGGTAAAGAACACGCCTGCTAATGCAGGAGACACACGTTCGATCCCTGGGTCAAAAGATACAGGGAAGATCCCCTGAAGAAGGAAATGGCAACCCGCTCCAGTATTCTTGCCTGGGAAATCCCATGGACAGAGGGGCCTGGAGGGCTACAGTCCATGGGGTCACAGAGTTGGACACGACCAAGCACACACACACAATACCTCATTCTACTGCAATTTTCCCTTCAAAAACCCTATCTTCTACAGTCACACTCTTTAGTTAGGACTGAAGTCCTGATGCCCCAAACCTAACGGCCAGATATGAATTTTATGTGACACAAGTCAGCCCACACCAGCTGCTTCAGGTCATTATTGTAACAAAACTCAAATGATATGAAAATCTTGATTATGCAAACATCATTCATACTGAAAAGAAAGCACCTAACATAAAGTTTACAGAATATATAATCATTTATGAATTAGTATGTTTCTATTTCAGACACCCAAACATCACCAGCCCATCACCAGACACACTCAATAGTAACTTATGAAGATTTGACAACCATAAACCAATGTCACTTTTTTTCTTGCTCATTAGAAAGGTATATTTGTTGAGGTATGTGGGACAGGACATATGGTATCTAATTTTTGCCAGCTTGGTCTATAATGTTGAAATGTTAGGACATGGCATGCCAGCTTCCATTTGTACATTTGCTCTGGGCCTCTCAAACCATAAAGGCTTTTCATTTGTTTGACTATATCACAATTCATTTGCCTATTTTACTATTGGACGGTACCTATATTATGTATCAGTTAGCTATTGAAGAGTTAAAAATTACCCCCGATAAATGTCAATTGGTGCAGCCACTATGGAAAACAGTTTGAAGGCTCTGCAAAAAACTAAAAATAGAACTAACATATGATCCAACAATTTCATTTCTGGGTAATTTTCTGAAGTAAACAAAAACACTAATTTGAAAAGGTTATATACCTCAATGTTCACTGCAGCATTACTTACAATAACCAAGATATGGAATTGACCTAAGTGTCCATGGATAGATGAATAGATAAAGAAGATAGATAAAGAAGATATATGTATCTTTATCCACTCATCTAATGACAGACACTTAAGTACACACACAGGCATGTGTGTGCACAACAGAATATTACTCAGCCATAAAAAAGAATGAAATCTTGCTATTTTTGACAACAGAGTATTATGCTGAGTGAAATAAGTCAGAGAAAGACAACACATGATCCCATTTACATGAATTATCTATAAAACAGATGAATAAACATGACAAAACAGAAGCAGACTCATAGATACAGAGAACAAACTGGTGGTAGCCAGAAGGGAGGCAGGACAGGAAGATGAATGAAACAGGTAAGGGAGATGAAGAGGAAGAAACTACCAGTCCTTAAATAAGCCACAGGATTGTAATATGCAGCATGGGGAATATAGTCAATCATACTGCAATAAAGATATATTTAATATTATTTATTATTTAATACTATAGTTAACATTATTATTTATTAATATAAATGTATTTATAAATAAATACAGTTGATAAACTTGCATGGTGGCAGATGCTAACTAGACTTTATCCTGGTGACCATTCTGTAATGCATAAAAATATATCAAATCTCTACGTTACATACCTGAAACGAACAGATTATTATAAGTGAGTATACTTCAACTTAGAAAACTACCCCCAGTGATGTGGCTCCAAACAATAGTTTACCGTCTTCACAGTGTCTGTGGGTCAGACTTTGGGGGCTGTGTGTGTGGGCTCTGACTCAGGGTCTTCATGAAGTTGCCAGTGAGAAGTCGGCTGGGGCAGCATCATCCGAAGGCCCGACTGGGTAGTGGGACCTGCTTCCAGGGCGGCTCCTTTACGTGCGGGGCAAGTTGGTGATTTCACAGTGCTGCTTGGGTGTTCTTACAACATGGCTACCTGCTTCACCCAGAATGAGAGAGAGGGGGGAAGGACCAGGTGGAAACTACC